GAGAAGGAGAAATGAAGTTTTCGTCTTTTTCACTTTGTTTTAATTAAAAAAAAAAACCAAAATCTAGGGGGGGCACGTGCCCCCCATGCCACCCCCAAGTCCGCAAGTGAAGTCAACAATTAATTTTATCCACATTTTGTAGAATTCATAACCGCTGAATCACATATTTCATTAATTAATAAAAAAACAATTTGAAAATTTGAAAAGATATATATATATATATTGAATGTAGCATGTCATCTTGAACTCGGCTGCATGAATGACACGAAGCCGTACACGTAGCAAGTTCTTAGCAATTGAACCGCCCAAGTATTAATGCATTGGTTTACATATCTCAATCTTACAAATAATGTGAACTTATGAAACAGTGTAAAGAAACGGAACCAGAACAATGCACTCTGTAAAAGAAAAGGTAAGCAACGCTGCCGCCTCCGGCAAGGAGCATATCGATATCACGAAAGCCAAAGCTCAAGAGAAGGTACATCTCCTTCCTCATATACGAATCTTCTTGACCCGTAAATACTAATACATGTCGACTGTTGAGTAATACTATTAAAATTTGGAGTTTCATGTTAGAAGATGTACCTTATTTTTTGAATTAGAAAGCTTGTTTGAGCTTGACTCTAATATCATATTAAATTTGTGGTTCTATCCATAGAGGTCAATCCAAGTATTTCAAATTTTTATACATTTTTTCGATATCCCATGTGGGATTTTACGTTGTTATACGATTTTATGGATTATGAACCTTAGGTGGAGAAAGCTACAGCGAGGACTAAGGAAGAGAAGACAATAGCTCGTGAGAAGAGGAAAGCCAAAGAAGCTGAAGCTAAGATGAATCTGCATGAAGCCAAGGCAGAGCACGCGGATGAGAAATTGCACGGACATCATCTCCACCACCACCACGAGCCAGTGATTGGAACCCATGGGCATCAACATCATCAACCGGTGGGAACGGCGGTTCCAACAACAGGTGTACCAGCTCCTACCTATCCCCCAGGTGGCCAGTTTCCTTCCGGACCGACTCATCATAAACATGTTTAAGGTTCCTAAACGCCGACAAATATATCTTAGGCTTTCTAATTAAGTGATGTTTGGGTATCTGTATTGTTGTTTGTGTGTGTGTGTGTGTGTTTTTATTGCTTTTCAGACTGTTTATTTTACAGAAAATAGAGATGATATTATATGATCTATAATGAAATTCTATTCTCATTTGTGAATTTAATAGGAATATTAAATGGACTAGTTGCTCAAATATTTATTAAGTTTAGCCGTTAAAATTAGTAATGATTAATTTAGCTGTTGAAATGTAGAGGTAAGTTAGTCCATTTTTATTGAAGAATGCATGTTGAAATAGTAGATTGATGGAGAATGTATGTTTAACAAATAAGGAAAAGTTTTGAATATATGTGTAATATTATTTTATTGAAAAATATGGTTAAAAAAATAAAAAAGAGAAAAATGTATTATGAAAATAATTGGGATCAAACAAGGGCTTAACATCTAAGTGAATTAACCCCAACTGGAAACTACAGGTGAAGCCCCCAGACATACATGTACCATGTCAAGGCAAACTTTTAGAACAATTTTCATCAGATGGAGAAGAATTTTGAGATTGTTTACCATGCTCATAAGCTTGGAAGAAATTAACATTTTTATTTATAGAATGCAGAATGATTTGCAATACATGCTAATTTGGATGAACTAGTCTCTGATATCACAGATGGCATCAACGTTATTCAAATACGAAAGCAGAAGCAGCATTCAAAGAATTTGCGACTTGGTAGAATTTGAAGTCGGATTATACTTCGACTTGGACACATCTAGTTGATAGAATCCATGTTTAAGCTTGCCTCGCAACAGAAGTAGCTTTGAGAATTCGTCGTACGCAAGAAATATCAAAAACATGGGCAATGAGGTTGTTATCTATGAGAAATATGGACAAACCAAGTAGATTCTTTTTAGCGGAGGGTATATGTAATATACTTTTAGGAAGAGAGTTCAAATTTGAAGGTATAGCAAAAAAAATCGTATTACCTGTTGGATATATATCCCACATCGATAAATGATGTTGACACAGACCAATTAATAAAGATCTTGGGCTACTCCTCTTAATAAGGTTGACCTTTTAAGATGGAACCTCAATTCTTAAGATATAGTATCAGAGCTCATTATGCTCCAACGAGCGATTTGATCCCGTTAAAACTCTAAAATGAGCACGTGGATTTCAAGATTGGTCTGCTCAAATGAGCCACCATTTTGAAGGAGCGTGTTAAGGGATATATATCTCACATCGATAAATGATGTTAACACAGACCAATTAATAAAGATATTGGGCCACTCTTCTTAACAAGGTCGACCTTTAAAGATGGAATCCAATTCTTAACATTACCATCACCAACAATGAGTTTACGCTTTCATGTATTTATTGCTCAATTTTTTTTCCAAACTTGACTCAAAATGAGTTGATCTCTCTTTAGCCTCAAAAAAAAATTAGGATTTCACTCGAGGACATATCTGATTTCCGGTCATATATAAAACCTTCAAGATCATAGGTTGAAGTGTTGGGTAACACATGCAGACCCCCAAAGTTGAAGAATGTATTTCACCCTTATTTCAGAGCCACAGGTAGGAAGAGGGGTGTATGGATGGCTACCACCATTAGCTCTAGTAGGAATTGAAAACACATTTACTACCAGAATTCATGGTGGTCAGGCTTCGACTAGAGCTCTGATATCAAATTAAAGTTGAAGAGAGAAGACGAGAGAAATAGATGTAGAGGCAGAGAATGAGAGAAACTTGCACCTCTCTGTCTCATTTGGCTAATGTGTATGATTTGTCATATTTCACTTTTTTGAGTCGGACTCTCCTACGAGTACTCTGGAAAAAGAAGTTTCAATAAGATGTGTTAGTTCATTGGGTTGTCTCTTGTCTGTCCATAGATTCTATAGCAGTTCAAAAGAAGCTATTCAGTAACAAATTCATCTGTTCTTATTTCAAGAACAAGCATAACATAAAGAAATTACTCATTTTTGTCCTAAGAAAAGTACTGAAATGTTTCCCACGAGTGGAGTCCACATGAGTGGAAGTAGTACACAGACAACGAATCATTTATGAGATCTAAATCCTTCTTGCCTTATGAGAGGCTATAACCTAGATGAATGCAACGTCAAACCTGTTACGAATAAGGAAAAAATCATTTATACAATGATTAAGACATTGTAATTTTTACAACCTCTCACGTTAGGGTCGGGCCCACCCTAATATGAGGTTGTAAATTTTACAATGTCCTAATCATTGTACACATAGCATGATTGAATACCATAGCGGGGTGATACTCAGTGGCAGACCCAACACTCGGCCAAGGGGGCGGCAGCCTGTGCTGGGCTCCGTCGGAAGATTTTTTGGGAAGAAGACGACGAATGGGTGACGGAGCTGGTTCATTTTCCGACGGGTCTTCTTTAGTTCTTCTGGTTCATCTTCTCCCTTGCTGTTCCTTTTTTTTTTTTTTCGTAATGAGACTGGGCCTGTTGCTGCCCAACCTAGCCCAGCCTAGCCTAGCTCCTTTTTTAATTATTTTGATCAGTTGGACCATTTGTTTTGCAGCCCAATATTATTTAATTATATATAGGCTGAGCCCATTCCGGCTCTTTTCTTTTTTGTAATTGGGTTGGACCATTCTTCGGCCCAATAGTCCAATACTTATTAAATGGACTCAAGACATAAGCAAACTTCATTTTTCAATCTTCAACCAAACCAGTGCCGAAAATTAAAGAAAGAAATATTCTAAACTTATTAGTACATATGTATTCTTCCTAAAATATATTGAATTAAATAATTTTCACTAAACGAGAGTTTCACAAATTTAAAAATTGTAAAGGTTTTTGAACTCTTTGAACAGTTTTCAATTTTTATGTTTTTATTCATCTAATTTTATTGCCAAATATTAGAATATTTTCATATTTCTTGATCTTACGTCGTAAATAATTACACATTTTAAATTTTCTTTTGATGAATTTGACGCGATGATCAATTATTTTTATTAGCATTTATACACGTAAATATTATTATGTCATCATAGTCATTATAGCTTTTCTTCAATAATTATTCTCACAGTCGTCATTATATTGTTATAAACAAATTGCTGCCAACCGACCAAGTTTTTTCTTTAATCTAACTCCTGAAAAAAGGACCTAAATCTTTATTCTCACAGTCGTCATTATATTGTTATAAACAAATTGCCGCCAACCGACCAAGTTTTTTCTTTAATCCAACTCCTAACAAAAGGACCTAAATCAAGGTCATTTTGTTCACTTATTAAGCTTATCTCTACTAATGTTTTTATATAATCGATTATTTGTAGATGGATTTGGAATTGGAATTTGATTGGAATTGGAATTGGAATTAGAATTTGGGATTGGATTTGGATTTGGGGGAATTTGAACTGTGGATTTGGAATTTGATTTATGAATGTTGGCACTTTTCAATTCTACATTACCAATAAAATATAATGACACTACATTTAAATATGTAAAACTATCTCGCTCTTACGACCGCTGATTGTCGACGTTGACTGGTCAACGTCCGCCCGAGCTGAGTTTCGATGCTGGGTCCGCCATTGGCGATACTGCGAATCCTAATGGAGTTGAGGAGAAACCAGTTGAGGTATATTGATAATCATACCTTACAAAGGGTTAAAATAAAAAGTGCTGCTCTCCAACGAAGGCTTCCGGAATTTATTCTATTAATTTCGGGAGTTGAATTAATTTCGTGAATAATCGGGATATTGAGGAATGCCTGATATTTCTAGAATTAGTGTAAATCCACCTTTTGTCTTTCATGTTAAAGAAAGTAAGGATCTCGTGATATTTGTCCTGGCCATGGTAGCATTTCTAGTATTGGTCTAATTCTATCTCTGATCTTTCATGTTAACAAAGTAAGGATCTCGCGGTAGCTCGACAGGGCATAAGTGGAATGATTCACATTATTGATTTATTGTAGGACTTTATGTGGGAAGATGGTCTGGCTTATATCCATGTCTTCGATGTCCATCTGAATTAACATCATTCACGAGCAGTGTCCTGACTTTGTTAGGATCAAATGGGCCGTTTTTTTTCTCCTCAATTTTCAATTTACAATAAAGAAACCTGAGTTTACTATGAATTTGTACTATTAAAGTGGGTCTTGTTGAGTAATGTTATTTATTTCTAAGAAGTTTATTTTCGGTTTACATGACATTGAAGCCACCGTCACATTGTGTAACGAAGTTGAAATGCATTTTTATACATAGGAATGTTGGAAATCTTGATTATGGTTGTTCAAAATCAAAAGTGATAACCATGGATTGGATGAATTTGAAGAGAAGAAGACTGAATTTGAAAAGAGGAGAAAATCACGTTTGGTGCCTTCAAAATGGCCTATGCGATCGCATAGGCCATTGAGTCTCGCGATCGCACAGTGACCAACAGGGAGCAAACTGGGCAGCCACGGTATAACCATGCGATCGCATGGGTTTAGCCCTTGCGATCGCATAAGGTTAAAACTTGACCGTTATTTTCAAAATTCTGATGGTTTTATTATGAAGTGTTGCATCTCTTCAACATGGTTTGGAACCATTTCGTAAACCCATTCAGCCAAACATTGACAGTCAGGCTTCGACTAGAGCTCTGATATCAAATTAAAGTTGAAGAGAGAAGACGAAAGAAATACATGTACAGGCAGAGAATGAGAGAAACTTGTACCTCTCTTTGTCCCATTTAGCTAATGTGTATGATGTGTCATATTTCACTTTTTTGAGTCGGATTCCCCTACGAGTACTCTGGAAAAAGAAGTTTCAATAAGATGTGTTAGTTCATTGGGTTGTCTCTTGTCTGTCCATAGATTCTATAGCAGTTCAAAAGAAGCTATTCAGTAACAAATTCATCTGTTCTTATTTCAAGAACAAGCATAACATAAAGAAATTGCTCATTTTTGTCCTAAGAAAAGTACTGAAATGTTTCCCACGAGTGGAGTCCACATGAGGGGAAGTAGTACACAGACAACGAATCATTTATGAGAATTTTGATCTAAATCCTTCTTGCTTTATGAGAGGCTATAGCCTAGATGAATGCAACGTCAAACCTGTTACGAATAAGGAAAAATCCATCTGTACAATGATTAAGACATTGTAATTTTTACAACCTCTCACATTAGGGCCGGGCCTACCCTAATGTGAGGTTGTAAATTTTACAATGTCCTAATCATTGTACACATAGCATGATTGAATACCATAGCGAGGCGATACTCAGTGGCGGACCAAGCACCGTGTGGCGGCCTGTGCTGGGCTCTGCCGAAAGATTTTTTGGGAAGAAGATGACGAATGGTGACGAAGCTGGTTCATTTTCCGACGGGTCTTCTTCAGTTCTTCTGGTTCATCTTCTCCCTTGCTGTTTCTTTTTTTTTTTTTTTTAATAAGACTGGGCCGTTGCTGCCCAGCCCAGCCTAGCTCCTTTTTTTAATTGTTTTGACCGGTTGGGCCATTTGTTTTGCAGTCCAATATTATTTAATTATATATAGGCTGAGCCCATTCCAGCTCTTTTCTTTTTCTTATTTGTAATTGGGTTGGACCATTTCTTCGGCCCAATAGTCCAATACTTATTATATGGACCCAGGATATAGGCAAACTTCATTTTTCAACTTCAACCAAACCAAAGCCGAAAATTAAAGAAATAAATATTCTAAACTTATTAGTACATATGTATTCTTCCTAAAATATATTGAATTAAATAATTTTCACTAAACGAGAGTTTCACAAATTTAAAAATTGTAAAGATTTTGAACTCTTTGAACAATTTTCAATTTTCATGTTTTTATTCATCTAATTTTATTGCCAAATATTAGAATATTTTCATATTTCTTGATCTTACGCCGTAAATAATTACACATTTTAAATTTCTTTTGATGAATTTGATGTGATGATCAATTATTTTTATTAGCATTTATACATGTAAATATTATTTCGTCGTATACTCATTGTAGCTTTTCTTCAATAATTGTTCTCACAGTCGTCATTATATTGTTATAAACAAATTGCTGCCAACCGACCAAGTTTTTTCTTTAATCCAACTCCTGAAAAAAGGACCTAAATCAAGGTCATTTTGTTCACTTATTAAGCTTATCTCTACTAATGTTTTTATATAATCGATTATCTGTAGATGGATTTGGAATTGGAATTGGATTTGGATTTGGGGGAATTTGAACTGTGGATTTGGAATTTGATTTATGAATGTTGGCACTTTTAAATTCTAGATCACTAATTATCGATGTTGACTGGTCAACATTCGCTCGGGTTGAGTTTCGATGATGGGTCCGCCATTGGCGATACTGCGAATCCTAATGGAGTCGAGGAGAAACCAGTTGAGGTATATTGATAATCATACCTTACAAAGGGTTAAAATAAAAAGTGCTACTCCCCAACGAAGGCTCCCGGAATTTATTCTATTAATTTCAGGAGTTGAATTAATTTCGTGAATAATCGGGATATTGAGGAATGCCTGATATTTCTAGAATTAGTGTAAATCCATCTTTTGTCTTTCATGTTAAAGAAAGTAAGGATCTCGTGATATTTGTCCTGGCCGCGGTAGCATTTCTAGTATTGGTCTAATTCTATCTCTGATCTTTCATGTTAACAAAGTAAGGATCTCGCGGTAGCTCGACAGGGCATAAGTGGAATAATTCACATTATTGATATATTATAGGACTTTTTGTGGGAAGATGGTCTGGCTTATATCCATGTCTTCGATGTCCATCTGAATTAACATCATTCACGAGCAGTGTCCTGACTTTGTTAGGATCAAATGGGCCGTTTTTTTTCTCCTCAATTTGCAATAAAGAAACCTGAGTTTACTATGAATTTGTACTATTAAAGTGGATCTTGTTGACGAGTAATATTATTTATTTCTATGAAGTTTATTTTCGGTTTACGTGACATAGAAGCCACCGTCACATTATGTAACGAAGTTGAAATGCATTTTTATACATAGGGATACAGAGTGCCAATCCATTACCAACACGTTACAAAAAACGACTTATGTTGGACAATATAAAAGTTCTACACGCATGTCGACCACAACGAAAATGCCATACATGAATACACCTAAAGTACGACGTATAGGTCAATAATGATACACTATAAAATTTGATACAAATGTACCACACGTGATTAATGCATGCTATTTAGAAACTCTTAAATGCCTACCTATTATCTTATTAGAGATCATTGATGCAATTTAAATGCGTTACTTCTCCTAGCATCTTGTACAAATGCAAATGCTTGTAAAATAACTAGAAATTATGACAAGTAGTAGTAGAAGGAACAACTGGAAAAGAGAAATATGGATCCACCAACACAAATTCATGTCCAATTCTATACTCCTCACCGCAGATAATGCATCCATAGAGCATTTTAGCCTTCTTCCATATATAGCATATAGAAGCACACCAAAAGCTTTGTTGATAATGCAGTTCTTGATCAGCGTCGAAATTTCGTGTTTCTTCTTGATTTCTGTTCCGTGTTGATCCATTACCTTTATGTTTCATCGGCTGCCTTTTCAATCCCATGTGTGAGTAAATGCTCTCCCGAACAAAAGTTGTATAAACTTTCCTATTCACTCGCGCTTGGCCAAGTGATTCAATAAAACTGTCGACCTAGTCAAGTTTAAAAGATATTATGAGCATAGAGTTGGTAGGTACATGAGGATAGATTATCTTAGAGAGGTTTTTATAGGAATTGAAGTTTGGAAATGGTTAATTCCAAAAAGGGACCAATGGGTTACATTAACACGTGAAAGGTGGGACTTTGATACAAGGAAGGTGTCGTCTTATCATTTTCATTTATGTAGTACTCGTTAGTGTTAATCATTAGTCATCTGTATGGCTTTGCTTTGTTCACTCGAGAAGTTCAACATATTAAAGACTAATATGGAACAATCTTGCTACAGTGCCAGACAATTGCGACACCTTCTATAACAGAATGTTACGTGACATTTAATCCTACCTTTGAGGGTTCTCATTTCTCAAGAATTGCACACAAGTTATTCCTACCATTATAGATCGCATGTCACTAGCTTTTCAGTGCTTTCAAAAGACAGCAACACTTCCAACATTGCAATTCACAATTAATGGACCACTGTGCATGCATGGTCAATTTCAATTGGGGTGCCCTAGCCATAAGGCATATGCCCTTCACTCTATGGAAATTCTAGAAAAAATAGTTGCCGCCTTTCCTTATTTATTAGTTTGCTTTCGTCCACTTATGGATTTTGGAATGGACTTTCTTTGCTAGAAAATGGGGTCATTCTAGCCTTGCCGACTGATTAGACTTGCATCTAGAAATTTGATTGGAAGTGGTTTTTTCGACTTAGCTAAGATGATTCTTATCGGTCATAAGATCGTCATATCTCTTATATATTATATGTGACATAAACGAAGTGGTTTTTTAGATCAACCGGAGATGGATTGATTTGAATTACTTATAGAACGTCTAGTGCATATCTAAAAGAAAAAGAACGTCACTCAAACTTATTGCTTGTAGGCATTTAGGTGCTACCACATGAAGTAAATAAATCCAAGGATGCTTTGAGATAAACCAAAAATCTGCAAAAATATACATAGCTCATGTTTGGTTTCAGCTATAAATTTAGATTTAGAAAATGAAGTTAAAGTTTAACATTTTTTAATCACATTTCATGTGATCCACAACTTTTCAACCACACATTCTATTAATTTGTATCAAATCTACTAAAAAATTGATTTTTATCTATACCAAAGAGTGACATATATAGATGATACCTTTACACTTGAACACACGTGTATACATATACATTGTGCTTTACTCATGATATATATCGGTGATATGACACATTAATTCATTGGTGGACATAAAATGAGCATCGGTGCTCAGACTTCATCCTACCCCCAATCCCATTAATATTTTTAGGTAAAAAAAATAATTTTTTTTATGAATGTTTTTTCATGTATCAATTTAGTAGAATATATATATATATATATATGTGTGTGTGTGTGTGTGTGTATGCACCAACCTTTCGTTTATTCATCAAGTATGTAAAGGTTTACACTAAAAACCAACCTTTTGGTTTTTTATCAGCTCAGACTCAAAACATGAAAGCACGGGTGTAACATGTTTTGACCTACCTCTACATCAAGAGCGTGCTACAAGGGGAATTATTTACATATGTGTTACAGGTGCTGCGCTGACAACATGTGTATGGTCGTTTTTTTTTTCAACTTTCAATCAGACATTGTCATGTGTTGTTTGTAAAAAAAAAAAAGATCATGTAACTTAGCTTGTACATGTAGCACGGTTCTTGTATTATTCTTTTAATAATTTACAGTTCCTTCATTTTGTATACAAAAAAAAAAAAAAAAGGGTAATAACAAAAGATTGGGAACGAATTTACAAAAGAAAATGAAAGATTAGAAATGGTCGCTGTTATTAACCCTTCTAAATATTTATATACAGAAAAGGTAGAGGTGAGTGCCCATATCTTCCCTTCCACAAATTTAAGCGTCCTTGGTATGGTACAAGGTACAACGTAGATTTGTGTTGGAAAATTGAAGAGAAAAACTTGGCATTTATTGGTGCCCATAACGGGATGCAAGCAGCTCAAGTATTTGGTCCTCTTAAGGGAGACCACAAGAGGCCTAGTACTGCTAGATGATGACAATGCATGATAGAGAAGTACTTGGGCAAAACAATAATGAGAATTCCTATGTATATTTTACAGTAAATGTTAGAGAAGATTAGTTTAGCCTTGTCACGCATATCGTAAAAGATTGTTTTTACGAATTTTGAAACAAACGATCTCATGATTGTGGCGCTCATGCAAAAATAGATAAGACAATAAATGAGAATATATGCTGATAAGTGAAGATGAAACTAATTGAAGATAATTTAAGAGAATGATGATTCGAATAGTCAACATGTTTTGCCTAAACCTAAAAAGAATTTTGCTAATAAGAGTGGTCCAATCTCGATAAAACATGTTGGAAGAGAGATATCGACAAAAATCAACATATTTTAGATAATAGCTAATGTTGGTGTTCGAACTCTAGAATTACCTTGAGCCCAGTTCAAAGAGTGATTAAAAGAGTTTAATTATAAAACCCACAAGTCGCAGCAAGAGGTTGGACCGTGGGCCCATCCAATGAGCTTAGCCACAAGGCCTTTGTCATCTGTAAACATTATCATTATCAAACTGAAAGAGTGTCTCTCAATGACATCAACACCTCCATGACAACAATCAAAAGAAGACAAGTATCACATCCAACGTCAATACACTCTCACCAATCAAAGAAGAGTAATGATTGCCTAGACAACAGTCAATCATGACCTAGGTCACATGCTACATTTTAGGTGAAATGATATTTTGTATAGTGGAACTTGACATCAATTAAATCACTTCAAGCAAGAAGATGACACATGAATCGAGGTCAGACATTTTAACTTGACGAGACTGGAGACGGTAAGCTCCTTTTGAAAGGCTTATAAACAGGGGCCAAGCTAAGAATAATACATTACAAATGACCTCCTAATAAAAAAATTTCTCTTCTCTGTACAATATTCCTATAAATCAAGCACTATTATTTTGTAAAATTTCTCTTCAATTGATCTATAATTGTCACGTCAATTTTATTCATCGACAACTAAGATTACAGCTGCTTTAGATCTTGTAATTAAACGAGCCTAGCAGTTTCACACTGTAGAAGAATCCTTGAACTGTTAGCTGTATTTAGCTTCTACAATTTAATCAGACTATTATTAGAATATGCTCCATTCCTCCCGCGAGAGGAAAGGGAGAATCTGCAAAAGAAATTTGGCAAGAAAATGAAAATTATACTCATTCTGGATGGAACAGAAGAATAATAATGGTAAAACAAGCCTGAAGAAGGAAAAATGTAACAACCATCAATGAAAAGACCATACTACTGATTGTCTAAACCACCTCCATCCCCACCCCATCTGGGGTTAAGGCCGCACGTGCGAATGCAATGTGGCTGAATCAATAGATTCTACGCCTGACAACTTCGAATTCAGCACCAATTGGAAGGTGATCGATCGCATGGATGGTAGTAATTGGGTAATCCACAGCTTACATCAGAGGATTCTGGTTCTGGAAGCTCGAGGTAGCCGATTCTGGATCCCTGCAGTAACAATTTTTTAACAATATTCAAAGCTAATCCAAGTATAGATGCAGTACACAGGAATTTTCTTTGTTGAATTGAATCTCACTAGAAAGGATAAACCTTTGCATAAAAGCTGTATAAAAAGCACCATCTACTAACTCCTACAACATAACACAAATAAATAATATCACTAAGGTGGTGTAGATGGTGGCGATGGCAATTATTTAGGTGTTTGTTATCGTGGTCCTAGTGTGTGGTGTCTATGATGGTGGTGCTAAAGTTCAGGGGTTAATGTTGATGGTAATGGTGATCACTGGCGATGATGGTAATGGTGATTGTGGGGATGGCAGTCTAGTTGTTTTTAACGTGACGGTAGATTAACACAATGTTTTATGGTAAGGATAGTGGTGGTGGCGGTATTTCAGCTATGGTGGTTCAATTTGTATTTTTTTTTAATTGGTTTGAGATGCTTAAATAATTGAAATTGCATGTTAATTGGATTAATGTGCAAATATAGTAATTACTTTCATTCAATAGTTCAAAATATTCAGTGGAGAGCAGACAGATATCACGATTGGCACACGGTCTCCTTCGATTCAATTAATAAATACTTGCCCTCTATCGTGAACAACTTCCCATAGAAAGGCTACGTGTAGTAATTACTGAAATTAGATCCCTATAAATGGCAGATAATAAATCCAACTATTTGAAAACGCCTGTACAAATCGATCCCAATAATGATCCTCCTCTAGAGGCTCTTATTCTTTAGATTGATGATAAAACCAGACGACATTGACTTCCTAAGATTGTCTAAAATCAAGTTAACTGAAGCCAGTGGGAAGATCTCAACTTGACACCCACCAACGATGATATTTCCTATAGAAGCGCCCGATGGACTTCAAAGATCTATATGTGCATTCATGCATCGCATACCAAGTATACGAACATTTTAATAGTTTCGGACTTTCAATACATTCTAATCCATGTGTTAAGACATAAATAATATCGTATTCTTCCAACATATTTGTTCAGATTGGAAAATTTCATTAAACCTCCAAGGTAACAAAGTTTCCAAAAATTACATTTGACTGGCTTTCTCTACACAGAATAAAATTATGTTTTTAAATGATGATGAGTCATAGACAATTGAAATAGTTAGTTTCCGTCTATACCATCGAATTTGGAGGAAATGAAATCAATCTGAATTAGAATAGGCGTTTTCTACATTCTGCTGCTCCACAGTAGCAAGGCATTTGTCGGATCTTGCCATCCTGATCCATCACACTATCAAGAGCATACCCATAATCGTATGTAAGTTCCTACAGATGAACAATAACAAATTATGATCACGAAAACTTTTTAACTTATACATAAGCACTTCATGTGAAGCTTCAGAAAATCGAGAGAGATTGAGGATTAAAGCACCTTGAGTGGCGCTATATTGTCAGCAGCCATTAGAATCACCCGAGCAAGTTTAATATCATGATGATTGCTTAACACACATTGAACGAACAAATTGGGTTGGCAGCTATGATTGATGAACCGAGCAAAATTACCAGTCTTGCCTGCGTCAATGCAAAACGGCACACTCTCAGATGTCTCGTCAACTTTTCCCACGTGAGATGGCAAAGCTACGTCCCTCAGTCGTCTCTAGAAAGTAAGGAAAAGATTCAAGCGATTAGAAACAATATAGACAACAGAAGGTGCATGTTAAAAAACACTAATGCTATAAGTAAATGTTTTCAAGTTCAGCCAAATGAGCTAAAACTAATAGAGTGGAAATGACAACATGAACGAGTAAAAAGCACAAAAAAGTACGGAAGTCAGAACGCGTACACAATGTCAATTTCTCATTAGTCGAATTTTTTATCGTTTCTAGCTTGTTTAAACTGTTAATACACTCCTTGTGTATTATCTTTTGATTTTGATTTATAAAATTATGTGATTACCTATAAAAAAAAACAAACAAACAAAACATTCAATAAAAACTATATGTATACAGTGTGAGATTAAGACTTGAAACATTTACCTCTCTTCCATCCAGCGCGCTCATTGTTTGCAAGCAATCAATGTCAAAAACATAACTGTTGTCAGCAGCAGGGTCTAGATCATCTGTCTTCATAAGCAGACCAATGTACTCACAAACAGGGGCCCCAGAAGGTATATAGTCCCAGGATCTGACACCCCAACCCATCCTCGGGGTACGAAATACCTGGTGATCAGCGTCAAAAATGATATAGAAGTTTACCTACTTTGAGAACAGTAGAAAAGAAAAATTGAATGCACATACAAACCTCTAGTCGATAGTTAGGTGGCCTCTGAGATATCCGATTGACACAATTAGGTCCACAGCCACAATTTGGACCACATTCAAACACAACAGCCTTTGGCTCAATTAGTCTGTCGACATAAGTAGGTAAGAAACATCAGAGCACTGAAATTGCGGAATAGTAAATAACTATTTTGGACAGATTAAACAGGTTTGTCTTTTCTTTTCCACGTGATGACTAGGAATACTGATGAAAGTTTCTGATTTGTCAAGGGAGAGCAAGCATAAGACTGAAAAGAAAAGGTGAAGAAGTTGGCATTAATTACTAATTGACCAAATTTATGCTCCAATATCAACTCCTTTATCCAAAACACAATTTACGTCCATGGATGTCGGAATGTTTTAAGTTATTAAGTTTGACCATGTTTTACATAGTGAAAAGCACACAGCAACCCAAAGAAGGAAGCACATTTGTTAAAATATACTAACTTATATAGTCTATCAATAGCCTTAGAACCTTAGTTTCAATAAGTTTTCTCACCTTCCACCATGGCTGTGCACATATGGGAAATCGCCTCCATTAAGTTTAGCACAAGCACAAGTTCTAGGATCTGTACACTTGTCTTGACAATTGCATCCAGGGGGAGCATTTGTATGGAGATTTATATTCTTAGCAAATTTCATATCCTTGATGTAGGTGAAACCTATTTCAAGACCAAAAACAGAACAATATTAGAAGAATATCAAGGACAGAGTGGAGGTGAAAATTGAAAAGGAACAGACATGTTACAAAGTTTAAATCACATAATTATTAAAGAAACGTTAGAGTGGAGAATATATATCATGCAATGGTGCCTCACTAATAGATGTCTCAGAGAAAATTGGAAAACGGTACTAGAGAAGATGAAAAGAAATAGCAGTAATTTTTGGCACCGAATGTTCTATAAAGCCAAAATTTCCAACTGCCAGCAAATCCATAAAGTTTAAGTGCTAAAAACTGACAGTATATTCCATCACCAGTGCTCATTTTCACATGTTCTAATTACTAACGACTAGGTAAATTGATGCACACACCTCTTCTTTGAAAGCTCAAATCATAGAATTGACTAACGAACCTTAAATATGCACGTTATTTAATAGACCAAATGTTAATTCAGATACATCTATAAAAAGTTTCTGGAAAATTTGAAAGTTTAAAAATTAACAGAAGTGGAGATTTTCGTAATTGGACTTGTATCAATGGGAAGATATAATGAAATCAGTCGTAGAAATCAAAATAAATGCAACTCTTTTTCTTATTTGTTAATTCTATTTCCTAATATATGTTTGTATTTTTTGCATATACCTGAAATGCCATTTTCAGAACATGCTCCATACCATGTTAATCAGAACCTTCCAACCCAGCACCTCTAACCAAATCACTCAACCTATGATGTTCTAGCAACCTGAATTGTGCTTTTGTCAGAGGAATTTGCCCATGAGTTTGCTGCTCAATATAGGATGCGGGAATGGCTGTGTTTTCATTTCTTCATACTTCTCAGGTAAAACGCTTATCCTAATTCTTCACTTATATAGCTTGCCAGTTTGTGTATTTAACAGAAAGCATTAGTTTATAATATTGAATTTTCCCAGCTCTAAATTCCTGGCAGAATTTAATTCCACCAGTTCTCAGCCTTGAACCTATCTCTGGCTTAAAGATCAGGGTTTCAACAGTGGAAACTAGTACAACAGTCTATACAATCCATTACCGTTGCGTCCCTTGAACTTGATGTCCACATCAAATAAAAGTCACAAAAAAATATATGAATGTGAAAGACAAGTGTGGAATTCAACTTACTTTTGAAATACAATTTCAGGAACGGACGATAATGACCACCAAAACAGATAAATAAACTTGCCTTTAGGAGGGATAGGTGGATCATCAACCAAATTAGTAACAGGAATGGGAATATCTTCTTGGCCTCCAGTAATGTCTTCACACACCAACCTTATTACTCAAAAAAGGCAGGATTTTCACTTCTCCAATAGGTGAAAACGAAAGAAGGTGACACTAGATTGTTATATAATGCTGACATACCCGCGTATTTCAGATATTGAATTAGGAATACGGCCTCGAGTAAAATAAACCTGCGATAGAGATAAACAAATGATAATAGAAAAATATGCATGGAGTGGATAAGTACTCATTAGTCATTAGACTAGCTCAACATCTTTACAGAGTAATGCTATTCATCCCCACTGGGGTTACAAACACATTTTAGGTGGCGTTAACTTATTTAATTTCACCTATCATTTAATATCACATTAACGCCACCTAAACTGTATTTATAACTCCACTGGGGATAAATAACATTACTTTCTTTATATAGTTTTTGTCAGAATATTCGTGATAAACTTAACTCCTAAGGTTTTTCAATAATATTAGCTATGATAAACCTATGTGGACATGAGTGTTCGGCACGACACGTGTCGGAAAAAACAAGCAATTTTCAAAAAAGTAATGCTACGACACGACATCCACACGTTAATTAATTAATATATTTTGTGCAAAGCACATAATTTTTTGTATATTTGTTGCATCAAAAATAAATACTGGTTTTTCACTTTTTCCATTTTATCATTTATAACTTAAACAAGGTTTTCATTTCGTTGCATCTATATTGAAGGACTAAACAACAATTTAATCAAGTAAAAATGTGGGTCATTCTTGCTCACCAATTAAGTACATGTGGGCCACAAGTGTTTTAAATAATGGACCATGTTTCTTCTATTTTTAGAAGGCACCTCTTTTACTTAAAATTTAAAAATTCAGAGACTTGTTTCTTCTTCCATGAAAATTAGAGTTTCATCTTCAAATCAGGCGCTACTTCTGCAAATCTCACCACCCATGTCTAAACTCATCGCCTGCGATATTAGACATCTTCGGAACTTGTGCTGTGGACATCAATCACCACCCACCCTCCTCCATTTGATTTTTCTTTCAAAAATAGACCATGCTATGTTAGTTGCTCTTTTTTTTTTTTTTTTTTTTGTATTTTTTTTCTCATTTTTCAAATTCACCGGCCATGTCAAAAGGTATGTTGGACCTTAGAAATCAATACAAATTTCCGATACGCCACCAGGCATATCCAACGCATGTCAAATTGTATCAGTGTTCGATGCACGTCGAACACTGACTCGCCGACACCAAAGGCGTGTCAGCGCATCACAGACTATTAGTGATCATTAAATGGCTACATTCTAACCAGTCTCTGGTAACTAACTATTTACAGCTATATTTTATACTATTACGTGCCCATGTACTGATATGTTCAGCTTGCAACTTGATAGTTAACTCCCACATAATATCCTAACTTTTAAAAGGACATAAAAATAATATGTACCAAAATGTGTATATATTTCCATTCAAATGTAGCTGTAAGGACTGTAAGCTTACAAACAAACTTATCATTTTTATGAGAAAATACGCACTAAAACTCCATAATGCTCTTTTAAATTTCAAAGCAGACTATAATTATTGGACATCATGAAGGTAAAGGTGAACAAGAAATTAGAACAGAGGACATATTTATTCAACCAAAGCAATAGATACTAGCACTCCGAATTATATGATGTCCTGCATAGTTCACATCTTTCAGTGGGGAATGGGAAAATTCATGACTTTGAGGACATGAGCAGAAATATTAGTCAATTAGCAAAAAGACCTGATTTGTCGTCAATGGTGGCTGTCCATCAAGCCGCTTCAGTCGAAATTTATAAACCGTGAACCCAGATACACCCTTTTCCGCCCAGTATTTGACAACCTGCAATGTCAAGAAAATGTACACCCTAGATTCTAGATATCTCCCACATTAAACACATGCCATAAAGGTACAATCCACAAGAAAGAAACATTCCACGGATACTAGATTTCCAATATAAATCAAAAGCAATATAGACACCGCAATCTAAGTTTTTCCTCCAATATGTTACGCTAAATGAAAACTGCATTGCCAGAGAATAAATACAATATATGAAGATCAACAAAAACTTGCATGGGTGGCGGGGGTTGGAGGCTACACCTAAGTTGCACCAACACGACACGCTAACACGTGATTTTTAAAAAAGTATGACACAGACAAGTTGATTTAAATTCTTTAAAATTTTAGATGCATACAATAAATCTTGATTTTGTAACTTTCTATATATAACAGGACGTGTTTTGTCAAACACTTGCCTGAGAGGTGTCTCTAAAGAATTCCTCAAGTGTCAGTAATTTAAAAAGTATATACAAATGGAACAAAGCACATGGCTTGAGCAAGACGCAAAAACACATCGAGTGTCTGTGCATCAGAGGTCTACACTATGGCCTTGAGATAACTACATGGTATCAATGTAAGCAGCATAAATTAAGGAAGGCACCAGCATTCACTGGAAAGTGTTATAGAATAGCTAGTAAATAACAATATTTTGTTGGATGACAAGTCCTGCACAATTATGCGCAATACAGGACTGCCATCTTATCGGTAGCAAGTAAAAACAGAAATGACTAGATTATTGGGAGTAGATTGAGGATAACAACCTTGTACAGGCCATCATATGTGTAAACTTTTCCTGCATAGCTGTTTTCATTCTTTCGACATAGATGTCCACGCGTCACTCTAACAGGTATGGATTGCTCCATACAGTTCTGCAAAAAAAAAAAGGATCTGGAAGTTACTAGAGATACTTTCACCAACAAAATGCCCAATGCATATTCACATTTTTATATGCTCAGACAGGCAGAACTGTGAGCTATATGGACACATGGTAACCAGGAATCATAGAAATATAAGATTATGTTTTCATTGAAATATGCTAAATCATAACACTGGAAAGGAGAACATAGTGTAACTAATACTCTATATTCAGCCCCTGTTTGATGGCCAATATTGAAAAAAAAAAAATGACATTTTGAATAGTGCCTTTTTTGGAGAATGTGTCATTAAAAAATACGAAAGAATTCTGGGTTTACGTGCAAAATATTTTATTGTATGAATGTGTGGTTGAAAATGAATATGAGAATTAAAAAATTCTATTTTCAAGGGAGACAAACAGGGGCTTAGCTGTTTGAAAAACAGTAGCACAACTACTTGACGAGTGGTTGCATCAGAAATTAGGCCCCTATTTGATGGCTAATATAAAGAGAAATTGGGGGAAATGATTTTTTTCGAGAGTGCGTGGTTAAAAAGGAATAACGTTGGACTTACGTGCAGAATATTGGATTGTGAATATGTGGTTGAAATGAGTATGAAAAATAAAAAATTTTAGCTCCTGTTTAAGCTCCATTAAAATGTGTTTTTGAGAAAAAAATGTATTTTGGAATAGTGATTTTTTGAAGAACGTGCGGTTAATAAAGAAGGAAAAGTTTTGGATTTACGTGCAATATTATTTTATTGGAGAATGTGTGGTTAGAAAGAAGAGAAAGAAAAATGTATTTTGGATAAAATGGAGCCCCAAACAGGGGCATACTTTAAAGAGAGTCAAACAGGGTAAATTTTGCAGGCACACAGATCTCTAATTAACAATCAAACTACTAATGGATAACCTGGTGTTGATAAACATCATAGATGGGACTAGTTTGCCACAAATATGGAAGCAAAATAAGACAGATCCTCTATGAAAAAATAGAATCTTCAAATACAAAATAGACAACATTGAGAACCTTTTTTTTTTTTTTTGACTACCTGTAGAGTGGAATTTGAAAACATTTGTGGTTGCAATTACCCTGTCGCAGACAATTATATATTAGTTACTCAGTACAGAGATTGTATATCCATCCTTATCGTTCATCTTATCAACAATAAATTTTAACACGGGGGACCTTCTTTCTCTGTCTTCAATCATCAACTGTCAGCCATCTTCCTTTGCAAATAACAGTTTCTAACCAGATCACATTATTTACCTTTTTATTTCAAATCAGGTTATCTCATGCAAGATAGGGGTATGGTCAATTGTATATAGGCATATACAATGAGTTCTATGCCATACCTTGCTATTAAATATGGATTTTGATAAACTTCACAAATCTCTCCGCAAAAGATGCATTTTTTGTTCTTTCTTCATTGGGTTTGAACCGGCTAGACATGATTTAGTTTAGGGCAGTAATGGAGAATAATGATTTAAATATGCAGTCTTCTCCCTACCAAAATCAATACCTCGCATCATAGATAATGTTTAAATCAGTGCATCCTCGTATGGAAGATTAAAACAAAAAAGTGCAGCCCAAAGACAGTTTTGTCACACATTTGGTATGTGGAGTGGGAGTACAAAGAAACACACAAATAATGGAAAGTGGAATCTACATGCCTTTAGTCCCAGATTACCACGTTCCATTACTTGATCTCTGATCTGACGCTTGTCACCTAGCAAGTTGTTCCCACCTTGACCAGTGTAGACAACATCCTCGCAGTTGTCTTGATCGTCTTCATACTGGCCAGACAAGACAATAGATGTTGCAAGGGGTAGTGTGTACTGACTACAATCCAGCAACTGAAGGGAAACGAAAACGAAAACGAAAATGAAAATGAAAACCAAAAAGGAAAAATAAAATTTCTATGTCAAGATTGCTAAACAAAGAAAAGAAAGATTACGCATCGAATATGTAATGCAACAGAATGAAAAAACAACAAAGGTCACATGAAGTAATTCTAAATCGAATGAAACGACGTGTTTTAGGAACCATTTTTCCACTATAGAAAAACCTAAAGAGCTTCAAAGGAACAAGACTACACCAACAACATGGGTATTTAGTTTTGAAATTCCTGCAAAAAGTTGCTCAACAGATGGCAAATCTGATAGCTGAAAAGGCAATACATTCCTGAACCTGAAGGTGAAGCTACATATCACTCCTCTTACATGGCCAATGGCTTCATAAAATATTCAGCCATTTACCTAAGAGGTATTTTCTCGCAAGAAGTCAGAGAACCGATTATAAAATGAAAAGTACGAGAGCATCCATGATCTGAGCATCGTGATAAAGGAATTCAATATTACCGACTTACGAGCAGCCGTGCCAATAAAATCAATTCCGTTCAGCCAATGACCGTGAAAACCGACAACCACCATCTCAGCCCGAGAAAAAAATTGATGACCAACATCAATTCCTGCCATCACAAATGCATTTAAAATCCATGTATTTAAAATCCATATAGAATGGAAAGAAAAGCAATGCGAAATATATTTAAAGAAGCTTATTAAGTATTTATTAAGTGCTTGTCTAGTAGTGTTTATAAGTTGTGGGCATTGGAATGTGAGGATACTAAGCAGTTAGTAAGTTGTGGGTCCTATGGACCTATATTAAAATTTAAGTTATTTCCAAAGATGCTCTGAAATAACAAGACAATGTGGTAATACCAAGAAGCGGAATGAATGTGTAAGCACTAAATAACATGTCAAGTAGGAAACCAAATAAGAAACATCAAGACAACATGCAAAATGCAAATTAAACTAATCCTTATTAGACCATTTAAACGCAATGTTTTAGATCCAAACCATTGTCACTTCCCTAAATATGGAAGAAATAAACACATACATTAAGCAAAAGGCTGCACCGCAAATGCTACTAGACGTTTACATGTTACACAACGATGGAATTCTCCACGGTTTTCATTTATCTTATAACCTTTACAAAAACTTTTATATACAGTTTACCAACCTGGAATGGAGCCAAACCTCTTCTCAGGGTTTAGAATAGCTCCCATCTCCATCATCTGCTAATTTTCCACAAACATTACAGTAAAACTTATGAAAAGGGAAAGGTACTACCACATTCAAGACATATAGAAAGAATCAATTTGGAGTAAAATCTAAACATGTGGATAACCACCAAACTAGCATAACCAGAGATCGTATATGAGTATATTGTTAAACATTACTTTTAAATAATAAATGTGTACATCTTAAGCTTTTAGATTAGGTAGTACAACATGGTAGGAGAGTACGCAAATGTCCTCTGGATAAAAAATGAATCCGGCTTGCATATTAGGGGTGAAGACTAAATTTAAACAAATAAATAGATTTCCTCGGTTCTCTCTAATAGCTTAAGATTTTCTTCCTAATTAATTGCACCCATGTTTCAAAAGGCTTGATCGGGTATTGAGGCATTTTGATCCGTGGGGCTAGCCGTAAGCCTTTATGCACTTTGAGGCATAAGCCTCAAGATACAGACAGTATTATATAATTCAAAGATATATAATTACAAAAAATATGTTCATAATAAATCATTCACCATCTTAAAGAATCAATGATAAAAACAAATTAATAAATTAAGAGTTTAGCTTGCAAACTAACATAAAATAAATCAAGGAAAAATAGTTCAAAAGGCTGGGGCCTATAACAGAATGTTCGGAAAATGCAAGACAAATGACCGAAATTAGTTGTATTGAGACAGCCTTAAAGGCGTAAGCCTCCCTAAGTCAAGGAGTAAGTCTCAGTAAATCAATGCATAACCACAAAAATGGCAATTAATGGGCAGGACTTGGGGTGTAAGCCTCAAATATATATATATAGATATTGTGCAATTCGTTGTTTATATATATATATATAAACAACGAATTGCACAATATCCATGAATAACTAAGATGCTTTGAAAATGCTAACAAATGAGCAAAGATTAGGAGCATAAAGCGAACTAGACTAATGAAAAGTGAACATCAACAAGGTGCATGTATATATAGATTTATCCCAAAAAACAGTGACATGCCTTAGTTATTGCTTTCAAGTCAGGTCGTTTGGAACCCCTTTTAGTATCGTCAGCAGCTATACATTTCTTCTGCAGAAATTTCAACATTATAAGCTGGAGTTAATTCATTTTTCTATCCACTAAACCAAAAATTAAGGATATAAGACTGGTATTATGTGCTTCACGAAGAGGAAATCATGAATCTTGCAGCACTAAATAGCATAATTGGTGATGTGATAATGAAATCAACTGCCTCAAGCAACAGATACAAGGTCACATCAGCACTTAAGGAATCTGATATTGAGAATTGAAGGAGATTGGATAAATGCAAACCTTGGATTTTGAACTCTTCTTTGATTTCATATCAACTTCTTGTCTTTCACACCTTTTAGATTCTTCCTACAATAAAATAAAAAATAAAAAATAAATAGAGTCAGAGCATCTAAATAATTTTCTTCTTCTAACGGGTAACCCAAAAGCAAAATTTCTGCCGTTTTCCAAGTAGTAACTAAAGAAAACAGAAATTGGTCTCAAATGCATTTGCAATATCTATTCAATTCTTGAGACGTTTTACAGAAAGCTAATTGGTACTAACATGGAGCCAGGAATTACAGAAAACGGAAATATAATAAATCATTTTATTCAATCGTTTTGCAAGCTAGTCGCTAAAAAAGCACAGAAAAACAGCAAAAAACATAAGAGTCGATATTTAATCTATCATTCTTTTCAAAACCCGCCTCATAGACCATTCAATTAAAAGTTTACCTGAATAAAATGAAGGTAATACTTGTTGAAAGTCCGCAAAGTCTCAGTGACCATTGTATGTGAGCTTTTTCCAACCAAAGCGCAATTAGTACTAGTAATCGTGTTGCCACCATTCACCAACTCACGAGCTTCAGAAGCTTCACCGATTGCTCCATTTTGGAGCAGCACAGTGTGATGAGGAGTTTCAACCTTCCTCTTCTTGTAAACCCGCCCTGTATTCTTCCTCGACACGCCACTCTCCTTCTCAATACGGTTCGTCCCGGAGTTGTTCTTAGCAGATACCTCAACAGTCAACTTTTGATTCCTCATTTTCTGCAACCTCGCGCTGCTCCTCCGCAATGGAGCCACGGCTCCGGCGTCGGGTTCGGGTTCGGCGTTACCATTTTCCGCCGAGATCTCCATGTTGCAAGCCGGAACCACCATTTTAGTGAGCTTCTAGAGCAGCAGAGAGGAAATCCAAATTTGAACTCCTTTAGGGCTGAACAGCAAGGAGAGCGGAGTGAAAAGCGTATATGTAGACTGTGACAAAATATGACAGGGCAGTATTTATACTAATACATAGGAAGTGTAAACAACTGTAAATATGGGGCCCGAGTGACATGGCAGGCTGGATAATTTATTATCTGATCGTACGTATGACACGCTTAACAATTTAATTCAAATAAAATCTATTTCATTTCATAATCTTTAAATTATTAAACTTTGTTCCATAAAGATTAAACTCAGATTTTTATCAAATTTTGATAAAAATTAATGAAATATATGGTTAAAAAGTTGTGAATCACATGAAATGTATGATTAAAATTAATTATTTATTATGACTTAAATTTTAATCAATTTTTTTAATAGTACCAAACAGTGGCTAAATAATAAGCCCCCGTTTGTTTCTCATTTTTCATTCATAAAAATGAAAAATATAATCGTTATCCATTACATTCAGCTGTCAATTTTAAATTTCTATCTCTTGTGTGGGACCCATGACAGCTATATTTTTTATTCTCATTCTACAATAATGAGAATCAAACGGGCCATAAGTTATCAAATTAGCTAGATTTTCATTTTATGGTATCTATTTTCACTTATACTTAAAATATAATTACTTTTGAAATTGAATGATGAGTTGGCATCATTATAGATATTTATAAATATAAGTTCCAAGATTTTATTCCGTCGTATTCGCATGCAAAGAGCTTACAAAATCAAATAGTCGCTTAAATCAAACAATATTGTGATCAACTAATAGTTTCCATTTTGGTAGGATTGTGCAACTTCATTTAGTTCACATCGGATGAAAAGAAACTTTGAAGTGATGATATGTTACCGCTTACATGCGAAAAAATGAAATCATATCAACTTCTTCCGACATAGGATAATAAGCTTGAGTTTGTCTTGCTTCAAGGCAAAGAAATTTTGCATACATAAGAGCTTTTCCTTTTCTGTTCAGCGGAAATTAGGTATTAGACTTTATTTTTCGAGATAGATGTCTTTGTTATGCTACAAGTCTAAGTTTTGAATAAAAAAGGGACAAGATTGGGTCCCACCATATCATAGCCTGATCAGATCTTCTATCTCGATAATGTCCATAATTTTCTTCCCGGTCAAAAATTCTCAAACCAGAAATAATGCTTCCTTGGAATGGAAATGGAAACCGAGACCAAAGATTTTTTTTTTTTATAAGGTTTCACCTTTAATCAAGTGTCTCTACTTTTTCAATTGACATCTCGGTTCTTGACCCTAATTGATGCGGTGAAGGGACAAAGTGATGAGCAAGCAAAGCTAACGAAGCCAATAAATAGGGTTATACTAGAGCGGAGCGAGATGTATTCTAGTAAGAGAGTTAGTGCTAAATTGGTGAAAGACGTGATGAGAGTGATGTAATGTAAAAAATTTATATTGTTGCATATTTTAGAATTAATAATGTTCAAATGAAACCTTGTGGATACTTAAATTTTGTTAGTATTGAAATCATTTGCATTAAATTTATTAATATTGATATTAAATGAAACACATATGAGATTGAAGCACTTTCGAGGTCTTGGAAAATGTTAAAGGGGCCTTTTCGAGAACAATAATAGATTAATTGACCAAAATGATAACCGATGACAATTCCATTTGATCATTGACGATATGACGGTTGGTGATCTAAGATTGAAATTAATATCTCGTGATGATTCATACACAATTAAAAACAATGATATTGTCGGTGATTATCAGTGCTTCGCCTCAGCAATTACTAACGACAATGTCGTTGGTGATGTTATCGAGAACTACCAATGGCACTATAGTCACTGACAATAAATCTTTGGTGATTGTCGACAATATGATTGTTGGTGACTATTTTTGAAATTAATATACGTTGATTAAGATAGTTTTAGGTGATTTCTAACAATATTAGAAATACTTAATATATTGAAAATTTTGGTGAGTAAAACTAATTATCATATTTTAATATATCCCTACTAATATAAAAGAACCAATCCACTGAGCACTATTCATTTGTGAAGCATTTTCCTTTCCCATTTTATCCCCAATTATTTACTGTTCATTTGTGAAATATTTTTCATCCTCATTTTATCGAAACAAAAAAGTAATATAGATTTCTTCCTTATCTACAATTGTTGACTAATAAAATAAGGAAAAAAAAACTTATGACTTTGCACTGTGCTGAGCATCAACCGCACACCAGGGCGCGGATGCGGAGACACAGCGTCTCCGCTCCCGCAACGTTTTTTTTTTATTTCTTATTTTTTTGGCCAAAAATTCTATTGATTTACATTTTTCTTTTTTTTTCTTTTTTTTTTTTTTTGCCAAAAATTCTACTTATTTACATTTTACACAAACTATAAATACAATTTCACTTATTAATAATTTAATTCAAAAATATTAGAAAATATTCAATTTTATACATACATGAAAATCAAAAATTCTTTTGCTCCCGGCCCCCACGAGGGGCGCTACCGTGTTGCCCCCAAACCCCCACGAGAGGTGTTGTTCCCCTCGACCCCCCGCGATATTTGGTTTACTTGATTGATTTGCTTTAGAATCTATGGAGTGTGTCACAAAACAAATTGAAGGAAGCAATGATTCATTTTTTTTTAAGTTTTTTGAAATTTACAGAGACTTCATAAGTTTTTTAATTTCACTTCCGACGGGTTACTGTTTTCGTTGGGTTTTTCTATGTTTATTTTAGAGAGATTTCTGATACTTCGTGTTCTAAAATGATTCTTCTTTTCTGGTAAGTTTAATACGTTATTACATTATCAATATGATTGTGAGACTGGATTGCCATTTTGACACAAGCTCCATAAAAGACCAGTTGCTTTTCTCAGCTTATGAGATATATCGAAAACAATATTGGAAATTTCGAAAAATACAATTGAGACCTTACACAAACTTCACATGTTATTTGAACTCCTTTTTCTCATTGAGCCTCATCAACTTGATTGTTTTGTCCTCTAAATTTCCTTCGTTTCTACTCTTCCAGCATCACTTGCAACCTTGAACCATCTTTTTCCTCTCTCACAAGAATACCTGCAATGGTAGTTGAATTACCCTCTATATTGTGTGAGTTTGTCTACCCAAATTTGAAGAGTCAAACTTTTTAAATTAAATTGTTAATTTAAAGAATCTCTTGAAATATAAAACATTATAAAATGTTTTATTTAACTCAAATCTATGTAGTGTCTAGCAATCTTTTTTTGGTGAGCTAGCTAGTATCGACAAAGGTCTAACGCTGCTTAAAAGAATCTCAAATTGACACTATTTTATGTATTCCACTCTCTAGTCTCCAGTAGAGTATGCTATTCATAGATATATTTAGCCTTTGTTTGATAATCATTATACTCTTTTTTCTACATATTCATTTTCAACCACACATTCAAATAATAAAATATTTTGTACGTAAATCCAAAATTTTCCCATATTTTTTAACCAAGCATTCTCCTAAAAATAACTATTCAAAACATGATTTTTTTTTTTTTTCCCATTTGATGGTTGTCAAACACGACCTTAATTAATTTCCTTACTAGGGTTTTCATGCAAAACGATTTGAGTGTATATGTGAAAGATGGGATTAATGAACCAATTTCATTCATTATTTGGAAATGAATTAGTTATAAACTTTTCCTAGTATTTGTTGAATACTTAATTTAAGCATAGATATTTAACTAGGAATGAACAAGAAATTTAAATACATTGATCGAAAGAAAAGAATGGATTGTATATAGAATATAACTAACTAATCAACAAATTTCTTAACATATATGCCCGTTTATTTCCACCGACTCTCAACAACAAAATGAGAAATTTGACCTTTGTTCTCAAAATAGTGGGGTCCACTCACTCACAAAATGGTCAACTATTGCGGCTAGGCACTATTCCAACGGTAAAA